AATATTCAACAGTTAAAAAAGTCATTATCAGTAACTGCAGTGTGCTTTAGGTGAACTGAGTCAGCATCCTGTTGCTCCCTTTGTACCACCTGTTAGATTAAGGGAGATTTGGTCAATGGCTGAAACGGGGACTTGTATTCACAAAGCTGAATGTTTTAGACAAGCTTTTCATTATACACCTTTTTGCTTTAGACAAAGCATAATTTTTTGCTGGCTAAAATCAACACTGTCTCTGATAATGCAAACATAGTCTTCATAGATCACGTTAGTGGCTGAGTATCAAACCAACTCAATAAATAGTACTCAACATGGAGTCGGAATACATTTTAAGGCATACATAGTTGTTAGACTGTCAAAAAACATTTTGTCTTAAAGTTAATGGCATAACAATGAAGCCTCAAAGAAGAAGTTCTTATAAGTATCTCAATACAGCATAACATCGGGGACACCACTAGTCACAGACTCACACCCTGCTTATCCTACAAAGAAAGCACATTTATCATTTCTGTTTCTGCTTTTGTTGTAGCTCCTGGAGCATCTACCCCAACTGTTCACCTGCCTGCAGCACCCATACACAGCAGTGCGTCACATGACGGCACGCTGTGTTGGCGTGTTTAGTAAGATCGCCATGCTGGAGACCATGAACAGTTTCCTGGAGTGTGTGCTCCCCTGGTTAGCAGCAATCGGGGACTGCACCAAACAGGAGGGTGCCATCGAGGCTTTAGCCTGTATCCTAAAAACAGTGACTAAAATAAACATCCTGTTCTAATGCATTTCATTACAGATGTCTGGAATCCTTTTTTAAACAAAGTACAAAGAATGCTAAGAGGAGATGTGATTTGCAAGTTGTTAAAAGTTTACAATAGAGATGATCTGATCAAAATTTGTTTAAGCTAAAAGTATGTTATTCAACCAACAATAATTTGTAATGAAGCACTGGAATACATAGAAAATGAATCCAATAGTACAGTACATAGAGTCAGAAACTGGAGAGAGAGAGTGGGGAATAGCATGCACGACAAAATTGAAAAATCTAGATTAGATTTGATTAAATAATTTCTCTATTATCCAGAGGAGCAATTTATATTACAGCCAGTAGTACTACACAAACAATATAAAAAAATACAAATAAGGGAGGAATAAATAAAATAAATTTGGGCACATTTGAAAACCACACAAACAATAAATAAATACATACCATAAATCTGGTCTTTCTGCTGAAGGCTTCAGCTAGTGTGACATTTTAGATTAGTTTAAACAGGACTGTGTAAATATCATCGACTGACCCTTGAAGTTGTTGCTGTAGTATTCCTGTTCAGTTCTTTCCTTGACTAACATCTGTCCAGGTGTGATGGAGCAGCTGGATGTGGACATCGTGCCCTACATCGTGCTGCTTGTTGTACCCGTGCTGGGCCGTATGAGTGACCCCAGTGACAGCATCCGTTTCATGGCCACACAGTGCTTTGCTACACTCATCCGCCTGCTGCCTTTAGAGGTACGAGCACACACAGAATCAGAGATACTTTATTAATCCCCCGGGGGGACATTTGCTCTTAAACACAATCAAGTGTGGAAATATAGGAATATAAATAAGTATATATATTTAGCAGCAGTTTTGTTTTTATGCAACATTAATATTCTACAAAATGGTTTGATTGCATCCTTGCTGAACACCACTTCATATGTACCAAGTGTTTTGCTTCTAAAGTTTTCTGTTCTCTCAATCAGGCAGGGATACCTGACCCTCCAGCCATGTCCGCAGACCTGATCCGGCAGAAGGCCAGAGAACGCCACTTCCTGGAGCAACTACTAGATGGAAGAAAACTGGAGAACTACAAGATCCCTGTTCCTATCAAAGCTGAACTCAGGAAGTACCAGCAGGTGGGTGTCAGGGTCCACTATTCCCTTTAAAAAAAACTCCTTAGGCTGAAATCAGAAGGAGGCTCAGGCTGTGTCACATTTAAACAACATGTCGGGTTTTTGACCGAGAGGCTCTTCATGTCGTGTCTGAGGTTTTTCTGCAGACAACGAACGGTCTTCTTGACATCTTTAATTTGGAGCAGACAAACAGACGGGTTGTGTGCGTCTGCTTTGACCGTCCATCGCTTCAATGTAGCAGTGTAAAAAGCTAATATGCTTCTATTGGTCACCAAACTAGCGTCAACAAGTCAACCTTAACTGTCAGATGATTGGCTATTTTTTATCTCTTTAAGTTTGTTTGTTTTTTTACAGTTGTGTATGCTTGTGTTGTCCTGCAGGACGGAGTGAACTGGCTGTCCTTCCTGAACAAATACAAGCTGCACGGGATCCTGTGTGATGACATGGGCCTCGGCAAGACGCTGCAGTCCATCTGCATCCTGGCAGGAGATACCTACCTCAGGTACGCGGTCCAAACATCACTCAGAGGGCGAATCAGTGTGCTGAAGCACAAAAAAACCTGAAAGTCAAAACAACAATAACACTCAGTCTCCTTCATAATATACAAAGGATGTGACATGTTGGCATCATTTATAACCCATTGAACTCTTTAATTCAGAAAGCTTTAAACTCCTAATACTTTCAGGCAAAGAGCCTTGATGTGTCTGCTATCATAAAGAAAAAAGGTTATTAAAACACATTCTGTGGGATTCAACTTTAAAGTGAGCTGAAATTAAAACTGAAGAAATGGGTCTGAATTTGAACGATGGGAGTTAAGGTTATACATTTGTATATGACTTAAATTCATAACAAATTCAGAGGAAATGAACAATTAGTCATTAAAGACAACTGTCTCTGTTTTCATTCCAAAAGTAGAATCACGCGCTGTGTAAATAATGTTTTCAAAATGTGTCCTTATTTATTGGTAAATACATTAAGAACATTGGTTTTGAAAACTGATAGTCACAGTAAAAAAAACAAACTCACATTTAAGTTTGCTCCAAAAAAAGTTGTCTTGCGATTTTTAACAAAAAGAGGAATTTCCTTTTTGAGTTGATTTTGTAAAACGTGAATAGATTTCTATTTATTTCTGACGACAGTGAGCCTGCACAAAGGTGTGAGTGTGAGAGAGAGAGAGAGTTTGAGGACATTCCTAGGCTGGAGTAGTACGAGCTTCGCTTCACCCCCGCTATTATACATCAACCACGATTCTTTTTTAGGTCACCTTCAGACTTCATGGATTGTGTGCCCTGACAGTATCGTCACAGAAATAAATCAGAATCCCCCCAAAAAATGTCATATTTGCTGTACATACTCCTAAAGCCTGGGGCGACAGATTTATTAAAAACACACTTTTTGAAATGTTCTAAGGATTAAAAGCAGGAGCTTCAGAAATAACTTATGTTCAAGTAAGAAGACCTAAAGCACATTTAGAACAGTTACTCCTACAAACGCAAGAGGACAGGGGTTAAATAATCATCATGAAATTATAATACAGGGCAGAAACCGGTGCATGAAAATTCTTCATAAAGAACAGTCTGACACTTTTAACATCAACACTTCTTTGATCTCATTGTTTTTAAAAAGCTCTTTAATGTTCGAGCTGCTGTGTGAGTAAACCGGACTCAGCCATCTGTATGTGTGATGTCTGCTCAGGGCTCAGGAGTACGCCAAGACTAAAGCGGCTGACTGCAGCCCCATGCCCTCTCTGGTGGTTTGTCCGCCCACGCTGACCGGACACTGGGTGGACGAAGTGAGCAAGTTCTGCTCTAAAGAGTACCTCCACCCGCTGCATTACACCGGACCTCCTACAGAACGGATGCGGTAAAGAAGATTACTCAGACTTTTATTTTGGAAAGAAAAATGCTTTCATACAAACGCAGAGATTTCTGACCTCCATTTCTGAACCACTCCAGACTTTATGAGCTGAATAAACAAAGTGAAATAAAGTTTTGTTTAAAGTTAGCCTGGATCAGTGATCATAAGATGAACGTGTTCTCTTAAAAGTCCTCATGGACCTAAACAAACATTTTCTGTTCCAGGTTACAACATCAAGTTAAGAAACACAATCTCATAGTCGCCTCTTACGATGTTGTTCGGAACGACATCGACTTTTTTAGGTGAGTCTCACTCCTGTCCTAACATCAGATGGTGTTTTAGAAGTCGGTGCTCAGTTTTTAATGTTCTGTCTCTCTGCATTGTAGAAATATCAAATTTAACTACTGCATCCTTGATGAGGGTCATGTCATCAAAAACGGGAAAACCAAACTCTCCAAAGCCATCAAGCAGTTGGCCGCCAACTTCAGAGTCATCTTATCAGGAACGCCCATTCAGGTGAGGCTCTGTCACATGGCAATCAAATGTATTTGGAAAATAAAAAAGATCTTTCATTGTGTAGTGATGAGTCAGACCATGAATATCTTTCTGCTCTGTGATCCCAGAACAACGTCCTGGAGCTCTGGTCGTTGTTCGACTTCCTCATGCCAGGCTTCCTGGGAACGGAACGACAGTTTGCTGCTCGCTACGGTAAACCGATCCTGGCCAGCCGGGACGCCAAAAGTTCCTCACGGGAACAGGAAGCAGGTACGTCAGCTCTCGGTCTCTGAAAGTTTGTCACTGGTGTGGCTTGGTTTAGATTTAAAGATCTGGCTTCGTGCACAGTTGACTGTAGTTAATGCTGGTTTCTCCTGCCAGGTGTCCTTGCGATGGAGGCGCTTCATCGACAGGTGTTGCCCTTCCTCCTGAGGAGGATGAAGGAGGACGTCCTCCAGGACCTTCCTCCTAAAATCATTCAGGACTATTACTGCAACCTGAGTCCTCTACAGGTACGTGTGAACTCTGCTTCTCTTAACTGAAAGTAGACCTACATCTTTCTCCTACCTCATCCTCCTTTTCTTCTGATTTTCTTTGATTGCTTCTTTTCCTTCTTCTCTTCTCCCTCTCCTTCTTCTACTACTTTTTCTTCATCTTCTTTGTGCCATCAGTATTGTTTTTATCAACCGGACTTCCCACTTTATCCTGCAAACATAAATGGAAAGTCTTTTTTCTTTTATTCTTTTCTATTTTTTAGATACATTTTTGGTCCTTTGCCTTTATTTTGATAGGACAGTGAACAGAGTAGGTCATGGAAGAGAGAGAGTGGGGAGGTAGGAGAGCAGGAAAGCGGCCTTAAGTCAGACATGAACCCGGGCGCACACTTGGAGTACTATATCCTCTGTACATGGGGCGGGTCTGACCTCTAGGCCATCAGCGTGTCTGAAGTTTTCTTACTTAACTATGTTGTTACTTCGAGGTTGATGATATAATTCAAAGTATGTTGTTTTGCCGCCTGAAGGTTCAGCTGTATGAAGACTTTGCAAAGTCTCGAGCCAAGGCCAGTGTGGACGACAGCCTCTCTACAGCCTCAACAGAAGAGGAGGAGAAGCCTAAGCTGAAGGCTACAGGACATGTCTTCCAGGTACACTGTTCTTTTTTTCTAAATATTTATTTCCAGATGGTACGAAGGGTAAACCAGAAACAGAAGCTGACGATGTTGATGTGCTTTTTTTAAGCATCCTCATGTTTGTACCTCGAAGTCTTCTTTTATTTTTATCTCTGTTGTTTGAATAATAGCACTCATTTTTCAGGCCTATTGTTTACCTTTTTATGTTTTGCAGATGCATCCCACTACAACTAGTCAGTACTAAGTACATTTTGTTTCTCCATTATTGCAGGCGCTGCAGTACCTGAGGAAGCTGTGTAACCACCCGAGCCTGGTCCTGACCCCGCAGCATCCAGAGTACAAACGTGTCACTGAGCAGCTGGCGAGCCAGAACTCGAGCCTGCGGGACATTCTGCACGCGCCCAAACTCTCAGCTCTCAAACAGGTAAAGTTCCTTTAGATCAGCTTCACTGTTTCCTTTCTGCTCGGCTCCAACAGTGTGATACTCACGTGTCCTCTGCTCTCCAGCTGCTGTTGGACTGTGGTCTCGGTGGTGGTGTTGGATCAGAGGGCGGCACTGAGGCAGTGGTGGCCCAGCATCGTGTGCTCATCTTCTGTCAGCTGAAGAGTATGCTGGATATTGTGGAGCACGACCTGCTGAAGCCCAAACTGCCCTCGGTCACCTACCTGAGGCTGGATGGCAGCGTGCAGGCCGGCCTGCGCCACTCCATCGTCTCCAGGTGAGGGCCTTCAACTTTTTACTCTTTTTAATGAAATACGAAATGAACTGCTGGATCATATTTATGATAAGGGAAATATTTCTGATCTGAATCGAACTATTGTCTCTTTCAGGTTTAACAACGACCCGTCCATCGATGTGCTGCTGCTGACCACACACGTTGGAGGTCTGGGTCTGAACCTGACGGGTGCAGACACCGTGGTGTTTGTGGAACACGACTGGAACCCAATGAGGGACCTGCAGGCGATGGACCGAGCCCACAGGATAGGACAGGTACTGTTGATGGACACACAGAGAAAACACATCATAAAGCTTAGTGTGAGTCTGAAGCAGCACTTTGGGGGACACACCATTAACACTGCAGGAGTCTGAGATATCAGAGATCAGACATAAAATATTTCACCTGTGGACTCTTTTTCTGAATGTACAAAAAAAAAAAGGTATAAACAGAATAAGAAAGGGACATTGGGTTTTTTCATTCAAAGCAAAAGGAGCCTCATATTTATCCACATAGGTGATTATAGCTTCTGAGGGTAATGTATTTCTTCCACTTCTCAAATTTGTTCTTCTGAAGCCTCAAAGATAAGGTGGTCCATTCCATTTAGAAGATTTCATGACTTTAATCATACCGGTCCTCTCTATAGATCCTGTTTTGGTTTTGTTAACTTTTTGTCAAGAGTTCATCCAAATATATGTAACACTCTGTGGATCAAAGACTAAAGCCTGATAAAAATTATAATAATGATAATTAATAATTCTTTAACTGGATTCTCCAAATCCACTAAAGACAGTTTCTCATTTGAACAGTATGAACCGTGTCCCCTTAAAATCCTCATTGTGTGTCAAATTCAGGTTTCATTACAACACTGTCTCCCACTATGGGATGTTCATCACTGTTTCCCTCATGAATTATTAAAGTCCTCTGTTTGAACAGTGTTGGATTGTGTGACACTGCTGCTCTTGTCTGGAACCAGTGAAGCAAAATGAACCAAGTGAAATGAAGTTGGCAGGGCGGCTCAGTCCCCTTTTCGTCTGGTCCATTCTCTTAATGGTGTCCTCGTGTGTTTGTGTGTTGCAGAAACGGGTGGTGAACGTCTACAGGCTGATCACTCGCGGCACACTGGAGGAGAAGATCATGGGTCTGCAGAAATTTAAGATGAGCATCGCCAACACCGTCATCAGCCAAGACAACTCCAGCATGCAGAGCATGGGCACAGACCAGCTCCTCAACCTGTTCACCCTGGACAAGGTGAGACCTCCAGGTGGTCCCAGCTCAGATACAGTGCTGAGGGGGGTTAATGGGTGTCAAAGATCGCTCACAAAGAAATGGAAACAAACATCATGTGGTCACTCTGTTAGTACAGAAGTTCAGTTTGCTCACATCTTAATAATCAAATAGAAAAATTAGACAGAGCAAAATGTATCTTACTGTTACTATAAAGACATAAATGAGATTCTCTGAAAAAACACAATGACTTAATTATTCCCTTTGATTATCCTGGTTTTGGTCGATATTCAAAAGGAACCTGACTTTAACCTTTAACTTTAATGTCAGAAGGGATGCAACAAGGCAGAGGTTTGGACTTAATATGTTCTTATTGGGGGATGCATTATGGTTATTGTTTAAATGCACACAGAATATATTTACCTTCAAGGAGGGATCTAAAGGATCGGAGGACATTCATTCACATTTTCTTTGAACTCTTTTAGCCATAAACCAAGTACTATAAAACTGGTTTAATTTCTTACCACATCGATTGTGCTGCCCTGCAGTTTCTGCAGAAATGAATCAAGTTCTTTAATATTCTTTAGTCTGCATTTTTTAGGAAGTGCTTCAAAATTAAACTTAAGTAATTCCAGATATCTTGTACAGCACAGAATATTTCTGTAGCCCATGGCTGCAGACATGCACACAAAAACCTGCTGATATGTATAAAACTATTAAAGTTAGGAGCTTTATAAATAACTTAAAATTAAGTTAGACAGCCTAAAGCACGATTAAAGCAGGTATTCCTACAAACAAAAGAGGACCAAAAATCCCAAAAGGATGTAGAAGAGGGACACATTGGAGCATGTTGTGAGATCAATAAGCCCAGTGTTTGGATTCTTATCAAACTCAATACTGAAAAACACATCTGACATGTGTCCCAAACACTGACACATCTACCTGCATGCTGTGCTGTTACCTTCTGAGCCTCCTTCCTGTTTGCCTGATCGGTCTGCTGTGTCGATGTGTTTCAGGGTGAGAAGGCTGAGCAGTCAGCGTCAACCTCAGGGAAGTCCTCCATGAAGTCTGTGCTGGACGGACTGGGGGAGCTTTGGGACCAGCAGCAGTACGACTCAGAGTACAACCTGGACACCTTCATGCACTCCCTACAGTAGCACTGCAAGACCCCCACCACAGCCCTCTTCCACACCCACGTAGCCTCCGTCTGCTGACCGAGCTGGACCCGGTCAGAGCCGGAGGAGACCCAAACTGCTGCAGATAACTTTCGCAGTCCACCTTACACCTAACGCAGGATAAATGAGGTGGGCTGATAGTTAACGTTCATGACCATAAGCAATAACTCAAGCACAGCTGGAATAAAAAAACTAAATTTTAACGCCTCAAACTAAACGGTACACGGCAGAAAAGTGTGTCTTAACATTTTTAGGAAATCCCATAATTCTTCGAGATTTGCAGAGAACCCCTAAGAGGTGGTACAACGTGTCTGTACCAAACATCTCCAGTGTTAGTTTACAACATCTGCATTAGTCCGCGGTGATGATGCGTCCTAGCTATCCTTCAAGCTCCAGGTGCTGCTTTTCTCCCATGATGCATTGCCAGAGTATACAGTGTTAACTACTTCACCATTACTCTCCTATCCCACTGATCTCATGGTCTTAAAGCGCTGCGATGCCCCGCCACGTCTGTCAGCTGCTCTCTGACTGATACAAACATTTTTCTGTACGACAAAAGGGAAACGGGTGGAGAGCGAGGGAGCTCTCTGGAGGACGCACAGGATATCATCACTGACTCTTTCTGGCACAGTGATGAGCAGGTTGTGCTGTAGAGGGCGCTGTAGTTTCCCCTCGCCCCGGGAGAGTCTGTTCACATGAGCTGTGTGTTTGACAAATGAACGAGTGTGTCCTGCTCTTCAAACGTGGTGTCAAAAGGAGCACTTGAAGCAGCTTCACAGAGACTGAACATGGGGCCAAGAGGAAACTGGTACCTGAAAGATGCCACAAGTATTTTAAAAAGAAGAAATAGACTTGTACATACTTCTGTAACTGCTGCTTTTTCTTTATGATTGTGGAGTTGTAATAAATTCTACAAACCTTTGAATTACATATTCATGTTTTATTACCGTGTGTGTGTGTGTGTGTGTGTGTGTGTGTGTGTGTGTGTGTGTGTGTGTGTGTGTGTGTGTGTGTGTGTGTGTGTGTGTGTGTGTGTGTGTGTGTGTGTGTGTGTGTGTGTGTGTGTGTGTGTGTGTGTGTGTGTGTGTGTGTGTGTGTGTGTGTGTGTGTGTGTGTGTGTGTGTGTGTGTGTGTGTGTGTGTGTGTGTGTGTGTGTGTGTGTGTGTGTGTGTGTGTGTGTGTGTGTGTGTGTGTGTGTGTGTGTGTGTGTGTGTGTGTGTGTGTGTGTGTGTGTGTGTGTTGGTCTCTGTGTCTGTGTGTGTGTGTCTCTGCGTGTGTCTCTGCTTGTCTGTGTGTGTGTGTCTCTGGTGTGTCTCTGCTTGTCTGTGTGTGTGTGTCTCTGCGTGTGTCTCTGCTTGTCTGTGTGTGTGTCTCTGCGTGTGTCTCTGCTTGTCTGTGTGTGTGTGTCTCTGCGTGTGTCTCTGCTTGTCTGTGTGTGTGTGTCTCTGCGTGTGTCTCTGCTTGTCTGTGTGTGTGTGTCTCTGCGTGTGTCTCTGCTTGTCTGTCTGCGTGTGTCTCTGCTTGTCTGTGTGTGTGTGTCTCTGCGTGTGTCTCTGCTTGTCTGTGTGTGTGTGTCTCTGCGTGTGTCTCTGCTTGTCTGTGTGTGTGTGTGTCTCTGCGTGTGTCTCTGCTTGTCTGTGTGTGTGTGTCTCTGCTTGTCTGTGTGTGTGTGTCTCTGCGTGTGTCTCTGCTTGTCTGTGTGTGTGTGTCTCTGCGTGTGTCTCTGCTTGTCTGTGTGTGTGTGTCTCTGCGTGTGTCTCTGCTTGTCTGTGTGTGTGTGTCTCTGCGTGTGTCTCTGCTTGTCTGTGTGTGTGTCTCTGCGTGTGTCTCTGCTTGTCTGTGTGTGTGTGTCTCTGCGTGTGTCTCTGCTTGTCTGTGTGTGTGTGTCTCTGCGTGTGTCTCTGCTTGTCTGTGTGTGTGTCTCTCTGCTTGTCTGTGTGTGTGTGTCTCTCTGCTTGTCTGTGTGTGTGTGTCTCTCTGCTTGTCTGTGTGTGTGTGTCTCTCTGCTTGTCTGTGTGTGTGTCTCTCTGCTTGTCTGTGTGTGTGTGTCTCTCTGCTTGTCTGTGTGTGTGTGTCTCTGCGTGTGTCTCTCTGCTTGTCTGTGTGTGTGTGTCTCTGCGTGTGTCTCTCTGCTTGTCTGTGTGTGTGTGTCTCTGCGTGTGTCTCTCTGCTTGTCTGTGTGTGTGTGTCTCTGCGTGTGTCTCTCTGCTTGTCTGTGTGTGTGTGTCTCTGCGTGTGTCTCTCTGCTTGTCTGTGTGTGTGTGTCTCTGCGTGTGTGTCTCTGCTTGTCTGTGTGTGTGTGTCTCTGCGTGTGTGTCTCTGCTTGTCTGTGTGTGTGTGTCTCTGCGTGTGTCTCTCTGCTTGTCTGTGTGTGTGTGTCTCTGCTTGTCTGTGTGTGTCTCTGCTTGTCTGTGTGTGTGTTTGTCTGTGTGTCTCTGCTTGTCTGTGTGTGTGTTTGTCTGTGTGTCTCTGCTTGTCTGTGTGTGTGTTTGTCTGTGTGTCTCTGCTTGTCTGTGTGTGTGTGCTTGTCTGTGTGTCTCTGCTTGTCTGTGTGTGTGTGCTTGTCTGTGTGTCTCTGCTTGTCTGTGTGTGTGTGCTTGTCTGTGTGTCTCTGCTTGTCTGTGTGTGTGTGTGTGCGTGTGTGCGCATGTGTTATGACCAGTAGATGGTGTGGTTGCACACTCAAGAAATATAATACTGACACATGAATGTACCTGACCTCTGGTGACCCGCCTCTTTGGCTGTAATGTCCATATTGAAGGACACTTTCCTGCTTTACAACAGTCCCACTTAGCAAATGCAAAATGATGCCAACACTGCAGCAAATCCAGCTGTAAAAAATAAAGTTCCTCTAAATTTAAAAACTCAACTTAAAGGTGAACGGAATTCTGTAAATAAGGACAAAGTGGAAGCAGAAAGATGCTGGAAACATCAGATATTATAAGCAACTGAATACCAAATTATATCATGACTGTTGATTAGAGCCTCACAGATATCTCAATCAAGATTGTCCTTCATTCACTGATAAGCATTCACTTTTACAGGACACAATGCCAGAATCATTCAGAGAAAATTGGAAAGTATTCCCATCCAAAGGGATTTTTCTTGAACGGTTACCCGTGACCATCATTGCTGTCAAGCTTGTGAAGATGATTTTTTGGGGATTTAAAACGTTTCCTTTCTGAATTGGGTGTTAATCACGATGACCTCCGTATGACTTGCAGTATTCCCATGGCAGCTGTTTTACTCCAACTTCAAATTCAGGATTTAAAGCTTGCTTATGCTTTCCTGGAGAGCAACATGACGGTAATTTGTTTCTAGTAGCAAGTCATGCAAATATAGAAAAGACAATCGTAATCATTTTGCCTCTTCCTTAATAATCCTGATTGATCGGCTTGTTGTAACCGATATTTGCCATGTTCAAGCTCCCCTTGGACAACTAACGTATAGTAAGCAGAAATCCACTTCCCTGCTTAAATAATGAAGCCTGAGTGATGTCATCCATCTGTTCCTGCAGGGGGCTTTGGAGTCCCATCGATGGCAGCCTCCATGCTAGAAATCCAGTCTCAGTCTAACTTTCAGTCAACCTAACGACAGGCTGGGAGCTGGAGCTGAGGCGGACTTTAAGCCTCCAGACAACCGTTACATCGCACCCACCTGTCAATCATGTCAGCTACACGCCTTATAGTGAATATAGCTTATCGTTCGTTAAATCAAAACGGATGAGTTATCACCCCCCAGATTCCCAACACCTATACTTCTCAAAAAGAGGGAATACTGTGAGAAGAATTCACAACAGCTTTCCATCTTCCCAGAGAGAGGCGTCTTGGGGGGGAAATGGAAAGTTGTGTGTGTAGTCGAGGGTGGATTTAAAACCACATCATTTCCTGTTTATTCCGGGGAGGGGCTTCTTAAGGAAAGTGGTACTTAATTTAGCCTTGAGGTTTTCACTTGTGAGTTTTACGTCCTGTAGCCTTTATTGGTGTCCAATACATTTCTACATTTCACGCAGCTTTGGAAACTACATGTAGATATGGACCAGGATTTGTGAGGAGACTTTTCACCTCATGTTTGCCTCTGTAGAATAAAACCAAAATACTGGATTCAAAAATATTTCTTAGTATACCTGAGCTGTTTTGATAAGGTCGTTTTATAACGGAAGGGGAGAGGATGCCATGCCAAAGACAACAAAGTTCAATAGCGTCATACAACTATGTTTAATAAGATTGACTCATCAGTACAGAAAAAGGAAAAGGAAAGCTGGAACGACAAAACTGAAGCAGGTCTAAGCATTAGCAGTGTTGAGCTCCGTGTTTTCAGAGCTCAGTGATCCCGTGAAAGAGTTCAGATCAAGCCGACAATCTCCAGACAGAAGCAGTTTGTAAGTCAGAAAAACAAAAAACCCAGCAGAAAATCACACATTTACACTTTGAAAAGAGCGGGATGTTGGAAAAGCACATCACCCATGTTTTTTTTTTTTCATCTACTCTGGGATCACAGCATGACGTGACCTTCAGTGTTTACCTCCTCAGTGAACAACCGTGAATCAGCGGTGAATACACACAGCACGCTATCCAGGTCTAAACACTCAAAACAGATATATAGAGAGGTTATATAAAAATGGTTGGCATCAAATGATCTTTTTATCTGCACATCTGGGAGAGAGATAAATACTGGGGTTGTGGTGATTACTGGACCCTGGGAGAGAGTATATGGTGAGACAGGTTAAGAGACATCAACGGGAGAGGGGGTCAGTATTAAGATCAGCTGTATAACCTGTTGAGTATGAAGACAGAAAACACTTAAAAACAAGGCTGCAAAGTCAAACAAGCTGACATGAAGTTGGATAAACATTTCAGTGTCTCGTGACTGTTCACTAAACGTGAAGCTCTGATGACATCATCCTCGCTTAAAGCTACGGAAAGTCGCTCCCCCCCCAGCCAATAAAATCTCCAAACATTGCAGCATGTCAGCGCTTCACTCTTTAAATAAACACGATGTTCTGCAGGTTCTTTTAACATATCTGAAGTGACATTTCTAAAAACATGTTGGGTCATAAAACGTCTGACATGATCTTTATTTTGATTGTGAGGTGACAAGTTTTTGATGGCACTTTGAGACACGTCTGACTATCTTTTGCAATGTCTTATTAGCGTGATGTGATTTTTTAAATTATTATTTGTTGTCGGTCTTTACAACATTTACAGCAGCGTAATACAAACACAAGAAAAGAAGACGAAGAAATGCAAGTTCAGGAAATGTGGCGTCTAGATGAAAAGAAATGCAGGGAATGAACGTTGGGAGCAAAAAATAAATATGAGGCGACTTGCGAGAAATGCAAAAAGAAGAGTTAAACTTATGACTAAAGGAATCATAGCCGTTGAATAATATGTGAAATTTAAGAATCACAGATGCTACACTCTGCAAAAATTGTCATTTTGTTTGGATTGGGTTTTTAAAATGTCCTAAAAATTTCTTAAATTAGATTTTTTAAAGTGTGCAGCAACACTAACTGGATGTTTCTTCCTTTAGACAGAGTTAGCTTTTCCCCCAACAGTCATTAATGTAGAGCTTAGTGGCTGCTAGCTGTAGCGTTATATTGGATACAGATGTAGTAGGTTGGTTCAGGAACATGAGAGTAGTTAAAATCCTGTCGTTAAAATTTAGCAAGATATTCAAAAGAAATGTCTGCACTAAATTTGATGCTACAGCCATTTAAATATTTTCTTCATCCAGAATAAAAATGGACACCTGTGCCCTTAAATGTGCCGACACAGAAGAACGCTGAAGGCTGACTCATAAAAACACGATATCTTGTTAGCTAACAGCTAGCCGGGCTCCGTCCAAACAAACGTCTCCTTAATTGTTTCTTTTAACACAAACTGAAACTGCTTCTGTTGTTTTGTGGACAAAACTATTTTTCTGGCG